AATCATGACTCTTAAGTTTTTGTCATTACAGTCTGATCCTTCTGAGGCATTTACAACCAAGTCCATAAAAAATGACTCTAATAACTACTTATGTATCAACCATGTTAGCTTTTTAGACATCCTCTTTTGTTAGATTTTGTTTTGTATTGTCCTTCTCTAAAAGCCCACTGCCTAAGAATCACTCCTTCTGAGCTTCTTTGTTGCTTTAATTTGGCCAAAAGAGTCTATTTGGCACTGACTCCCACTTGATCTGCTTGTTATTTTCCCCCAACGTGGGACCAAGACCAACCAAATAAACAAAATCCAGGAAAGAGCACATCCTGACGATGAGAAAAAAAATGGCCCATCAAGAAAGATTTTCAGTCTATGGCCATACCACCCTGAACACTCCTGATCTTGTCTGCTCTCAGAAGCTAAACAGGGCCAAGCCTGATTAATACTTGGATGGGAGACAGATCTTCAGAAGAGATTGCTGGGGGGAATGCCATCAAAGTTCAAACAGAGTCACTGGTACAAGACCTCTCAAAAATAACCAAGGCCGAGCGGATTGAGGAAATGGTTCTTATGCATGTGTGGCCATCTGGTATTAAAGCTCTTCCAGACACAAACTCATATTTTTATACAGGGTCCTCTACTAAAATAGAGACAAAATATCTATTTTTACTGGCTCTAAATATGTCCTTTGATACTTAAAGATGGTGGTTTTAACTTTCTTTAAAACAATCCATTTTCTTGCACATATATACTGATAATATACTGTTGCCTTGGTAATTCTACTCAGTTAAAAAAACCCAAAAGACGTTGTTAAAAAAAAATAAAATGTCCACCCATTAAAACCCCATTGGAGGGGCCCTTTTGTTGTTATCTTGTCTACTACCCCCACTGCAGTTAAAGTAGCAGAGATTGCTCCTTGGATCCACCACAGTCAAGTCAAGCCAGCTTCTCTCCAGTAGGAGTGCATCCCTGATCTGACTTCACTGTGCAGGATCACCCTCCAGAGCCTGAGCACCCTCCCTTAGCAGAACTCCACTTCCCAGGAAACAACAGGGAATCAAGAATGGTGGGAAAACAGCCCTGCTCTAGTCATCCCTGGAAGCTGACTAATTATGCACAGCAGAAGCTTGAGGGGTCCAGTCTCCAGTGGGACAAGTGGGTTGTTTTTCACACCAGTTATCTCATTGTCATGAATTGTCACCTCTTGTCTGTATCTGCTACTGTAGTTCTCACCCTAGTCTTCACCATAGGCTTGGCAGAAACCACCCCTGCTGATTGGTCTCACAGTTTTTATTTACTCTTTTCTATTTCTTTTAGGCAGGATACATAGTTACTATTTATTGTTACTGTGTGGTTTCCCTTTGTGGCCCCAGAGCCCTCTTCCTGTGACCTATATATGCATACTACTCGGGCAGGAAGTGTTGTCACTAGGACTTTGCTTTTCTATACTTACTATTCCTGTACAGGCTCTGTCATTGGGCCATGCACTCACAATAACACAACCTATCCAGTGTGCTCCCATGGTAATCAGCAAATCTGCTTCAACCCCACTTACCGCCCTCGGGAGCAATGGTTAGAGATCAGGAGCGTCTGCCACCCTGGGAACCTCATCAGCCACACCCAGGTGTTTAGTCCTGATAAACCAGCGTCAATGCTCTTTGATACACGTGCAGCCATAGACAAAGGTGGATGTGGAGATACAGGCTGTGGCTGTGGGGACCTAGCTTGAAAAAGAGCCTATACGTCAAATGATAAGTATACGTGCCGGGGAGACAACTCTTGGCCATGTGATGATGTGGGTTCTTATTATTGCCCTTATTGGGTTTGTGTTTCATGGGCCACATGGCAGGGGGCTAAATACACAGCCTTCTTCACAAGGGGAAAGCTGCCCCTGACTGCACCTGCGGCACCTGTATAACCCTGTAAATTTCACTGTACTTAAGCCATCTGATTGGACACAGGGACAAGTAATTATCATAAGGATAGATAGAAAGGGCCTTGACCCTAAGAGTCTGATGCACCTCAAATTAGTAACAGTTACCCATGAGAGTTCCTCATAACAAGTTTTTCACTCCTTTTGTGAGGAGATAAGGAGTGAATTTTCCATCTCTGCCAAAGCTAAAAATTTGTTCCTCTCACTGGCTGAGTCTATAGCCCAGACACTGAATGTCACTTCGTGCTATGTTTGTGGGGGGACCAACATGGGAGACCATTGGCCTTGGAATGCAAGGGAGCTGGACCCACAGGAGCCTTTTAATGAGACTGCTTTCCCAAAATGCAGGAAAGGCATCTGGCTCCTAAAAAACTTCCATCATTGGAAATGATTGTATCTCCTGCCTGGAAGGCCAATTCTCCATCTCGAGGGGTCATTTAACTTGTTTAGAACAGAAGTTTTACAATGACACTGCCCAAGAGACCCAATGGTGGGGAGCTCCAAACCATACAGAACCCCAGCCCCACCCACTGACCAATTTTTCTAATCTCCAAAAAAGCACAGGACAATCTTACTACAAACAGATTGGCGGGCACCCAGGAAGCTATATTGGATTTGTGGAAAGCAAGCTTATAGGGTGCTACCTAGAAGCTGGTTTGGGTCTTGTGTGCTAGGCTCAATCAGACTATCCTTCTTCTTGCTTCCCCTCAGACAAGGTGGAAACCTGGGAGTCCCCATATATGAAAAAAGATTAAGTAGACAAAAACAGGGTGCCTTACAAGTTGGCAATTAAAAAGATGGCAAATGGCCTCCTGAGTAAATCATCCAGTACTGTGGTCCTGCCACCTGGACAGAAAACAGGTCCTGAGGCTATCACACCCCTATATATATGCTCAATCACATCATCAGACTGCTGGCTGTTGTTAAAACAATAACTAATAAAACTACAACTAATAAAACTATAAGGGCTGTCAATTTGCTGGCAAGACAAAGCACTAGGATATACAATACCATCTATCAGAACCGCTTGCTTTAGACTATTTGCTTGCTTCTGAGAGAGGAGTTTATGAAAAACTTAATCTAAACAACTGCTGCTTACAGATTAATGATTTTAAAAAAAAGGTCATAAAAGTGATCACAGACAAAATGAGAAAGCTTGCCCGTGTCCCCGTCCAGACTTGGAGAGGATGGGATACTAATGACCTGTTTGAAGGATGTTTTTCTGCCTTAGGTGGATTCAAAACTCTGATGGAGCAATGGGTCTAATTCTAAAAACATGCTTAATATTTCCTGCCTGGTTCCCCTGGTGCTGTGGTCTATCAAGACTATTATAAAGGCCATAATAAAAAGGAAAATAGCCACACATGTAATGATGTTATGAAAATACAAACCCCTAGATCAAGATGATGCTCTTTGACCCTAGGTGGGTCTGAGCATCAAAGGGGGGAATAATTTAGCAGGGAGGAGGATCAGAAGAAAATAGACTAGGCCTGAGTCCTGAGAAAGTAGCAGGGAGGTAGGGATGGCCTAGCAGAGAGATAAAACCTGAGGAATCTAAACATGAGGAAGGCCACGTAGCACTGGGGAGGGGGAAAAAGTCCCGTAGCACTAGGGTAAAGTAGCTATAAAATTAAACATAACCATATATGGATTAGACCTTTCTTTTTGCTTCTGTAACCTGCTTGCAAGGGTACATAAGGTGAGACCCCTTTGTTCTCAGGGCTCAGCCTTTAGACATGAGTCCGCTGGGTCTGTGCTGGCACAATAAAATGTTGCTTCCTGCTAAATTGCCTCAGTGTTCGTATCTCAGACAGATAAATCTCACAACACCATCCCTGATTTCCAAGTGTAAGGAAAAGTGACCTTAAAGGTCATTGCCATCAGCTAGTGTGCAGTTCAGGCTCTAGCCTCACTCTCCTTCCACTGGGACAGGCCAGTGCTGGAAAGCAGATCTGCAAAGATGCTGATGAGGCCTCAGGCTGCCTGTGCAAACACCCAAGCTCAGACTCTGACTAGCCTCACATTTGGCACCTGGAGCCAAGTAGCTCTGCTTTCACCAGCTGTGTACCACGAGGCAAAAAGAAGCCTTCACAGTCATAGCCAAACAGGTGCCCCAGGTCCAAAATAGCAGTCAGATGATCAAAAGGGCCAGCTCACCACTTTCTGCCCAAACCCTAGCTGCTCCCAGCAACAGCAGCTAAAAATAGGCATGAAAGCCACATACCTTGCAGAGGATCAGCAGGGACAGCCCTATCCCGCTAGGGTCCAGGGCACAATGAGGTCGCTCCGCTTCATTTCTGCTGAATCCCTTGTGTCCCACCCTCAGCTGGCTGGGGAAAGCCTGGACAGCGTGGCCCACAACCTCTACCCGCTCCTATTCAAGGCCAGTTACCTGCAGGAGCAGGCAGAAGTGACCCGCGCTGTGCTGGGGCACTGGCCACAAGAGGAATTCCGGCTGGCAGCGCTGCTGGGGCCAAGTGCTGACCACCCTGAGGACCTGCGTGACCGGGCCTGCAGGACCTGCCTGGAGGCCTGTGTGCAGGGGCTGGCTGACCATGTGCTGCAGGGCATGAGTGGCCGGCTCTGGATAGCTGACTTCACAGGTGTCCGGGATGTGCAGGTGCAGCGATGCCCTTGTGGGAGGGCACTGGGAAGGTGGGGCCGTACTGAGTTGCTGGCCAGGACCTGCTGCCAGTTGCAGGCAGAGGCCAGCAAAATCAGGCACACCATTGAGGTTCTCACTGACCTCTTTGTCACTGAGGGAAACTTTGAGGTGGTGGTACAGGCCCTGCAGCCAGCAGGCCTGGCTCCTCTGAAATTGAGCTGCACCTCATTCCGGGCAGACAGCCTGAGTCCTGGGAAGCTCCTGCAGGTCCTGTGCCTGGCCAGACCAGGTGAGCTGCGCAAGCTGGAGTTGGTACACAACGTACGGCTGCATGCTGGCCATGTGCAGCAGCTGTTGGCCCAGGTGGGCTTCCCTCAGCTGGCCTCACTCACCCTCCCCACCAAGGCCTTCAATGCGCCCCCGACCTGTGCCCCAACTCCTGAAGGTGAGGACCGCCTCCTCACCTCTATTGCCTTGGAGCTCAGCCACATGACCCAGCTTACTGAGCTGAGCGTGGCCTTCTCCACGCTGACCGGGAAGATTCAGACACTGCTCGGGTGAGTCTCAGACTGGGCAGAGGAGTGTCTGGGCAGGCTGGAGAGGCACTGAGGGATAGGAATGAGACCTGCTTACTCACAGTCTCCCACTTCATTGCTCCCTGGAGTTGTATTGGCCAGAACAGGAGGAGTGGAATGAGGGGAGGGTTGACCCTGCATTAGAGCCACCAGCAAAGAAACTGAGGGAACTCAAAAAACTGCTTTCATTTAGCAAAAGAGAACATGCCAGCTTGGATGCAGTAGCCACACTTGCAATCCCAGCATTTAAGAGGCTGAGATAGGAGAATTGTGAGTTCAAGGGCAGTCCAGGCTACAAAGGGAGATTGTCTCAAAAAACCAAGGGCTAGAGGTGTAGCTTAGTGGTGAAGTGCTTGCCTAGAACATGGCAAAGCCCTATCAGATCCCCAGGACTGCCAAAAAAAAAAAAAAAAAAGGGTGGGAGGAACAGAGAGGGAGGGGGAAGGGGGGGAGAAAAGAATGGAGGGGGAGAGAAGGAGAGAGAGAGAGAGAGAGAGAGAGAGAGAGAAAGAACATGTAAACTAGCAGGTCTACAAGGCAGAAGTAACTACAGTGAGTCCTATGGTTGACTATTGTACAGCAAAGTGCTCAATACTCATTGGCTTAAAACAACCAGCATTACACCCCAGGAATGTGTGGCTAAGACCGGCAGCTTCGACTCAGGGTTCTGTCAGCTGACTGTGGGCACTTCAGACTTATCTTAAGACCTGGCTGGACAGATGATCCTCCAGGATCATTCATGGGAGGACTGGGCTCCGAGGCATGTGAAGTCCTCATGGGGCAGGAGCTAGTTGTGTCTCCCCCACAGCAGCTCTGCTATGAATAGGGGCAGGAGGGCAGCAGCCAGAGAGGGCCACAATCAAGGTGGCCTCACATACAGAATGCTGTCACAGTTGCAGGCTCTCAGACAGGTGGGACCCAACATGGGCAGGCAGTGGGGAAGAAGCTAGAGCAGAAGGATGGAGGAAGAGGACACAGAGCAGGACCCCAGGTACATTCTGCCCTGTTCAGCAAGGATTGTGAGGGGATGTCCTCAGACAGGTCCAGGATCCTCATAGGGTGGGGTGGCATGACAATATACATTCTTGCAAGTCCTGGATGTGGATGCTGTTCTGGAGACCTTGCCTAGCTACTCCTTTACTGATGCCAGCTGCCTATGCCAACTGAATCAGAATTAGTGATTTTGGGATATAGAGCCCAAGTCGGGGTCTTTGGGTTCCCTTTCCAGCAATAAAATTGTGTGGGCTCCACTATTGTTAAGAGTGACAGCATCTTCTTCCTTGAGACTTCTTGTGCAAGTTGATTCCTGACCACACAGCAGACCTAGCAGCCACAGACAAGTGAGGGAACATGGCAGTGTCCCAATAAACCAATAAATTTATGGACACAGGTATTTCCATTTCATGTAACTTTCACATGTCACCAAATATTCTCGTCTTTTTCAACTATTTAAAAATATCAAAGTCACTATCAGCTCTCAAGCTGTATGAAATCAGGTGGCAGCAGGACAGTCCTGTAGGCCATGGCTCTTGTGACACACAAGTGGATGGATTGCTGACATCCACCTATTGCTCATCTGGGGACTTCCTCTCATCTGTGCTGTTTTCTGCCTGCCCTACAGCTCCCTCAGGACCCCACTGCGAGTGCTGGACCTGGCCAACTGTGCCCTGAATCACGAAGACATGTGCTTCTTGGCAGACTGTGCCCATGCCACCCATCTGGAGGTGCTAGATCTCAGTGGACACAACCTGGTTCACCTCTACCCCTCTGCCTTCTTCAGACTGCTGCGTCATGCTGCTCATACACTGCGGGTGCTAACCCTGGAGGAGTGTGGCATCGCAGACAACCATGTGGGCATGATGACCCTAGGCCTGAGCCCCTGCCGCCAGCTTCAGGAGTTCAAGTTCCTTGGGAACCCTCTGTCAGCCTGTGCCCTTAAGAGCCTCTTCTCTGCACTCTGTGAGCTCCCTGAGCTGCGCTGCATTGAGTTTCCAGTGCCAAAGGACTGCTACCCTGAGGGTGCTGCCTACCCCCAGGATGAGCTGGCCATGTCCAAATTTGATCAGCAGAAGTATGCTGTGATTGCAGAGGAGCTGCGTGTGGTGCTGCTGCAGGCCGACAGGGACGACATCCAGGTCTCCACGCCTCTCTTTGGAGGTTTTGATCCAGACATTCATGAAACCAGCAATGAGCTTGGGGCTTTCCTGCTGCAAGCTTTCAAAACTGCTTTAGAAAACTTTGCCAGAGCACTAAAGCAGATGGAGTAGAGCCTCGAATTATGCCAAGGACAGACCTGGCATTTCATCTGCATAGTGCCCTGTGGTCAGTACTGGATCAGAGGCTTAGGCCAAGCCTTCAGCATCAGCAGCACCACTGCCAAAAGCATTTCTTTGTGAAAGTCATAAGCGCACCTGTTTAGACACTGTAGGAGGATGCCCTGCCTTCTAGATGTGACATGAGGGGCCCCTGGGTGTGAGCGCAGCAAAATTCTAGAGCTGGGGTGAAGCTGCCATGGTGAAGGCTTCACCACCCTGGCAGAGGGAGGAGGACTACTCAGCTGGACTTCAGTGGACATCTGCCAGGGCAGGATGTGGGGAGCAGGGTCCACCTGACTCTGAAGCAGTGAAAGGGAGAAATGATAGAACTCATCACTGAAAATGAATAAAAGAAGTAGCCCCCCAAAAAATCTACTGAGAAATAGACTAAAAGTGAAAAGTAAACATGAAGACAAGAAACAGTGGCTCATGTCTGTAATCCCAGCTACTTGGAAGGCTGAGATTGGGAGGATCACGGTTAGAAGCCCACCTCCGCAAATAGTTCACAAAACTCCATCACCCAAATAATCAGAACAAAATGGACTGGAAGCTAGCTTTTAGTGTGCTTTGCAAGCGCAAACACCTGAGTCCCACAAAACAAATAAATAAATGAACATGAAAAGTGAACCAGATCCCTGGTCCCAGCAGGAACTCAGCCATCTGGTGGTGCAGGGAGTGGCTTTCAGTTGCTGTCAGTGGCTCTGTCCTCGCTGTGCATTCAAGTGGGTGCACACCAGCTTCTAAGCAGGCCTGGACTGAGGGTGTCTAATTGTTGCAGGGCGCCTCAATGTTTCTCAGCACTGCTCCTACTACATTTTCTGCTGAGCAGCCAGACTCTAAGCCATGCCCCAGCTTCTTTGCTCCTCTGGGTGTGTGAGGCCAATTCACTGAGAAGCAAATTAACCTCTGAGAAAGACCCATTTGGATTTCGTTTCCTCCAAGATCTGCTTTGTCAAAGAGCTGAGTGTTAGGATGATCAAATGCTAATAAAACAAAAGCATGATTTACCCAGATACAGCATTTATTTATTGTAGTTCTGAATCTTTAAAAGAATCTGGAAATAAAACATTCTCAAGACAGAGGTGACAGCTTGGACCCAGGACCAACTGAGTGCAGGCCAAAGGGTCTGAAACTCTGCTCCGCTGTGTGTTACCTCTCTGACATGTATCTCCATCCCAGACCCTCCAGTGCCACGTCCTGCCCAAGGTGCCTCCATCCCAGGTCCTCACAAGCCACCTCTTCCCCACCACGTATCTCCATCCCAGATTCTCTTGTGTAACCTCCTCCCTCCAGATGTGTCTCAATCCCAGGTCCTCCTTTGCCATCCTCTCCCCTAGATGTATCTCCATCCCAGCTGTTTCCATATGGCCCCTGGCCTCAGGTATATTCCCAGACATTTTCTGTGCAGCAAAGTCGGGCAGTCTTGTGTTGGATCTCTAGCATGAAGCCATCACAGGGTCTGCCTGCTGAGGACAACTTCCTCTTGGCTCTAGGCAGCCAAGAACCACCCAAGTGCACAAGTATGTCTCCCAGGTAGGAAACAATGCCTTCTACCCCTCTACATCTACCCACTGCTTTCCCTGCAATCACCTCAATTGTTCTCATCCCGCTCTGTCTTACTAGAAAAGGCTCATGCTGGCAAAATCTTATACGAAGCCTTTTCAGCCCATAGATTTGGGTACTTTGGCAAGCTCTTAGAGTAGGCACCATGAAAAAATTTTAAATTCAACTTCAACTCTAAAAAAGCAGAGTAGCTTGTGCTGTTTTAAGTATGTGATTAAAGACATGGCCTCTAGTGGCACTGCAACTAATTGTATGACAGCCAGCCCACCCAGGAGGTTCTCATACCTTCCATGTGACTGAGTCAGCAGCTGTGGTAGAGCAGGGCCCATGATGTTTTATAAACTGGGCAGGGCAAGCACACAGAAGTCTGCAGGTGCTAAATGAAGACTGTGAAGGCAAATGCTCCAGGCAACACATCCTGTAGCCTGGCTCAAAGCTCTCAGGGCAACAGCCAACTCTTATCAAGCCAAGAGACCAGGGTGTATATTCAGCTCAGAGTAAATGGGTCTGTGCCTCTTACACCCGTCCCTGTGCGCAATAGTGACTTGCTCTACACCTGCTCGGCCCTGGCCCTAAATGTGCTGTTTTGACATCCAATGGATGTTTCTCATACCTGCCCCACCTTGGTAATGTGCTTCTGGCTAGATGGCATCTGGGACTGCACATCTGGTACCTCAGGGTCTAAGAACATTGTTTTTGTGGAAAGCAGATCTCTGATGCAGAAAGCAGGCCTTCCCACCCAAAGGCAATTTTTTTTTTTTTTAAATGCATTGGCCCAAGAGTGTGCTGATTAGAACCAGAGACCATACGTGGTAGCTGCCACTGGGGCAACTTTTGGTGAAACTCTGGGGGGTGGGGTCCACTATCACCTGCTCAGATCCAGCTGGTCTTTCTAGGGTCACATGGGTGAATTGAACAGAAACACAATGTGAGACAGTATTCAGGACACCATGAAGTCCAGCATCAGAGACATGGGACCCCGAGGACCAGTGTTTGGGACATCATGGGGACCACTTGTTTTTCTTAGTGGTACTAGGGTTTGAACTCAGGGCCTCATGCTTGCTAGGCAGGCACTCTACCACTTGAGCCACTCCATGTGTGGAGGGGGGGGACCACCTCTTTGCATTCCTAGGTCTTCCATTGTCATGTTAATCACTGCCTGCAGTTCCCTTAGGAATATGGCAGTGCTTCCTGTTGTCTATCCTACAGGTGTGTGTGTTGGGGGACATCAGGGGCTCCCACTTGTGCCATTTCTAACTGTTCTTTGAGGTCTGACCTGCATTCTCCATTCTTGCTCTGAGATGCCCTTAAAATAAATCCCCTTCTTAAGTGTCTAAACTAGCTTGATATCTGTGCTTACAACCAGGGATACAGTGACTATTTTGTTAAATGTAGAATAAAGACAGGAGCACTTTTGGCATCACAACACAGCATGGGGGCCAACCAGAGGAAGATGACAGCTGTGTGCTGGAGTCACACTGCAGCTCGCTCCTGCTCCTGAGTTCAGGTGTGTTTATTGTAGTATCTGCTGCTGTTTAATCAAATTAAGACAGTAGAAGCAGCTAGAAAGTCTTTGCTTCCTTTATTTTAAAGAGATCATCTTGGTAAACTATTAAGCAATAAGGTTTTTAAAGTAATCCAACAGAGAAATAACTATACATTTCAATGCACACAGGTTCTCTGAAGAAGCTTCTCCCTGTCCTTACATCATATTACTGGTACAGTATGTGAACTGTTATCATGAACTCAACACTCTGTAGTATATACACATATACAAAATATACATATAAGAATTATGTGTCTTTATCTGTGAGCTTTAAAAAGGGGAAAAGGCACCTCTACCAAACAAGTTGATGTGATGAATGCACAGAATTCTTGCTACTATTTCACCTTGAAGAGTCCAAGTCAATCATTATGTTCCCAATTTCATTCCAAGGCAAAGCAGCCTGAAGCAAGCACAGTTAGAAAGCAAAATCAGAATTGTCCCACCATTTCTTCCATTTTAAGCCATTGCAGCCTCATATACACAATTTGACACCCAAATCTAAAATAAAAAATACACAACGAGCTTCCATTGTCCACGAAGTGGAACCCACACATCTAGCCTCTCCCAGAGCACAGCTTGTGTCCTGGAGGTTTGATAATTATCAGGGCCTCCAGGACAGCAGCACAGACAAGTGTTGGACTCTAAAGTCCCTACAAATTTTGCACACACATCAACAAATACTTGGGTTTCTATCCTTTTCTGCAATTATAACCTGCTTTGAATGAATAATGTTCTGCTGTAATCTCACTATAACCACATATGCTTAAGTGCCTGTGAAGTCATTGAACAGCCACACTACATGAATATTCAAACCTAATGAATTCAATTTCAAAAGACAGACACCATCAAATTACACTCAGACTTGAGATGGAAGGTGGCTAAGCCACCCAGACACAAAAAGTCCTGATGTCATTCCTATGAAAACTTTGCCCTCATTTTGCAGTACTGGGTCAGTGTCTTGACTTGCATGATCTGAACATGCATTTCTTAATGCTAAAGAAAGCCAGGCAGTGAGCAGGTTGAACTTTAAAGTATAATAGGGGTTAACAATTCACCCTGAAATCCATTCATCTTGAAATTCAGCTACCAAACAGCTGATCATGTTTTCTTCACTTTAAAGACAGATGCCAGAGAAAAGTGCTAAATGCTCTACTGTGGTCACATAGCACATCAATGGAGCAACAGAAACCAGAGCCTGCAATCCAGCAAGGGTACCAGGCACCAGGAAGCAGAGAGCTGTTTGGTTCCGATGTATCTGAGAAAATAACTTTTTCCTCAAAGTTCCAGTGATACAGCAGAAAGATATTACAAGTAGCCACTGGAGATAAGCTTCAAACTAAGTGGGCAGAACTCCTGGAAATGAAAGTACCTTTCTCCCACTGGAGGCCTGTTGCCTATCATCATGATGGTTCTGAGACTATAAAACATGAAATAATGTGAAATCCAGTGTGTAACAGTAGCTCTATAACTGCACTTCAGTTTTCCATAAGCTTAGTATTTTTGACAGTTTTTCTTACTCCTACATAGAAAGATGGCTCAGGGCAAAAGGACACAGGATCTGATTGTAGATACTCCCTTCCTACTTGGCCACTTCCAGTAACTGCATGCAGGTTCCTAACAGTTCTGAAAACCAAGTACCTGGCTCAGACCAGTTCCAATACTGCTACCTATATGACCTACACAGCTCACCTTTCCCACACCTCAGTTCTACATTCCCCCCTGCCTCTGTAAAGTAAAGATATGTGAAGAGTTCATGCAGCAAAAGGCCCACTTAGAAGGCCGGCCCCTAGGAACCTGGGTTCTGCAAGCGTTCCTGGCACCATCGACCAGTAAGAGTGGCTCATAGCACTTAAAACTGGGTGCATAGCATGAACCACATCAATCCCTGCCTTCCTGTGGTGCCTGGAACTGGTATGCACCAGGCACAGGTGTCCAGTCTCCAGTGAGCTTCCCTGGGGGACCTGTCCCATATGTTGTCCCATCATGTTTCATGTGACTCTACTAGGAGGGATCCCTGGAAACTCAAGGCAGGTTCTCTCTGGACTCCCATGTGCCTTCTCCCTCTGCTGGTTCTGTGTCTCTCACTTTAACAAATTCTATCCATGAGGATGACCACATGCTGAGTCCTAGGAGACCCCCCCAACCAGGTCACAGAACTTGAGGTGTTGTAGGAAACCCCCACCCAGAGGATAATAATAGTACTTAGCTCATAGGATCAGAGTGAGGATTATATGAGTGACATACACAGTGGCTCAACTCATATTAGTGTGAAATGAGTTATAAGTACTTGTGTTAACTTTTAAGTTGTGGTAAAAACTGAGATAATATATGTAAAAACATTTCAGAAAAAGAAAAGAGTAAAGAACAACACAAATTAAAAAAATTACACCAGTACTTTTAAATGGCAAGAATTTTTGATTATGCATCATTGCTCAATAATATCTGCTTACTGAAAACAGATACAAGCTAAATTCCAAACACACACTGGGGTTCCAACTGGACACAAGAAACATGTTTTCTTTCCTTTGTGGATGAGAGCTCTTCCAAACAAGATAAACCCTTGATGACATTACTACTACCATCTGTGAAGCAGTGCTAGACATGACCTGAGGCTTCTGAATGGACTCTAGGGAAGGAGAAAAGTAATTCTAGAACTAGACAGAACATACTTAAGATGAAAACCAACAGAAAATTACTTATGGTGGGGATCAATATTGTATTTGGTCTTTAAAAAACTATTTTTACCCCAGAACTAATATATGAGATTATACTATTCTGCTAAATATTAGCAGCTCAAAAATGCTTCAGAAAAACTGAATCCTTCACAGCTGCAGGGCACACAGAAGAAACCTTATCTGCCAAGGCTTTGCTACACTGTTCAGAGGGTGGCAAGAGCAGAGTCCCTGTACAGGGTGACTGCACACGGCTACACACAGGTGACAGGGAAGCAGAAAACTCTGGAGAAAATGCAGAACATCATGACCAACTGTCTGGCCATGAATTTCATTAATTCTCTCTTACTTTTCTAGTATGACCTTCTCCACTCTCTTAAACTTTTTCAATTCGACAACTAGTTCCCAATACTTGAGATAGAGCCACATGAGCTTCCCATTTTGGCGTTTGTTGGTATTCCAGACATCACCACAATGCTTATCATGTTTAAATATGTCAGTTAAGCCAGATGCCACCTCTAGATCAGCAGCCACAGGGTCGACAGATGCACGCACAAGTAGGTTCTTCTCCAGCTCCAGTCGTGTGCTTCGGGGGAGAACTGGACTACAGTAGATATTCTGCCGTTCCATGAGAGCCTCTCCCACCTCCTTCAGCACAAGCCGGGCTCGCCTCTGCCAGTCCTCTTCTTCTTTCAGACAGTTCAGATACGTACTCCTCAGAGGTTGCTGGCTTTTTTCTTGCATTACCTGAGCCCATTCCTGTTCCAGAAGCTTCTTTTCTTCCACCAACTTACGTCCCTGAGAGATAAGGGCTTCTCGATAACTAGTTGTTCTGTTTTGCTCCTTTTCAAGTTCCAAAGACAGCTGAGCAACAGCACGCCGATGTTCTGAGATAACAGCATGGTACTTGGCTTCAAGATCCTGTTGGAAAGCAGCAGTTTTCTGATGATGTGCTTCTCTCTCTTTTTCTATTTCTTTTTGGGACTCCCTAGACCAAATCCAACCTGACATGAGTAAATGAGAGGAGAGAAACACACATAAAGAAGAGTCGCAGCTCAGATCCTATAAGCTTTCAAAGAAACCATAAGAGTAAGGATAGCATTTCAGTAAAAGCCTAAGACAACAGTACCAAGAAGTTAACATTTTGTAGGAAACTGGAAAATAGGCATAGTTCTTATTCTAAAATCAGACCAGGGTTGGGTGCTCAAGGCTGCACATATAACATGCTCATTCCACCATCTAACTTCCATGGTAGGAAAATTTACCACTGCTTCCTTTGCCTTCAAATCTACCATTGTTTACTTGCTCTGGCCTCAATGCCCCATGGACTATTGGCTTCAAGTATTGTTGGAAGTGAAGATAACATATGTCAGTGCCAGGATGAAAGATATTAGTATAATCTGACAAGACCTTAAAGCAGTTATCATAATAAAAAGTCTAAGCAAAGAAAACAGAAGATAAAAAGAAGGACTGGCGGAATTGCTCAAGTGGTAGAGTGCCTGCCTAGCAAGTGTGAGGCTCTGAGTTCAAACCCCAATACCACCACACACGCAAAAAAAAGTTAGAAGATAAAAAGAACTAAGTGAAAATTTTAGAAATGAAAAATACAGTAACAGAAATTGAAAAAAAAAAAAAAGAAGAGAATAGGTGTGCCAAGAAACTGAAATACTTAATATAACCCTTATAAACAGGGACAAAAATATATATAATCCAACATATTAGTAGGGTACAGAAGGCAAATTGCACAATCATAGCAATTGATAACAAGATTCAAAACCAAGTCATAAAAATAGGAATAGAGGAAAACATTCTTGACTTGATAATGAGCCTACAGAAACCTAACACCATGCTGAGTGGTAGAAGTTTGGGTCTTCCCTGTAAATTCAAAGACTACTTGACAGAGCCCTAGATATCACACCAGCACAAGACAGCAAGTTTTTACCTTTTACCAGTAAAAGGTAAACAAATGATAAGTAGGGAATAAAACCAAAGTCTTACATCTTATACAGAATGAACTCAAAATGGGTAATATAAAATATAAACCTGAAACTTCAAGAAGAAACAGGAGAGAATCTGCAGAATTAGGGCTAGGCCAAGAGTTCTTAGACTTGGCACAACAAGCCTGGTCTATGAATGGAAAAACAGTAAATTGTGCTTCATGAAATTAAAACTTTTGCTCTTTGAATGGCATTGTTAAGAGAATGAAAAGTCCCAGGAACTGGTGGCTCATGCCTGTAATCCTAGCTACTTGGGAGACAGAGATCAGGAGGATCATGGTTCAAGGCCAGTCAGGGCAAATAGTTCACAAGACCCTATCTTAAATATACCCAAAACAAAAAGGGCTGAGTGGCTCAAGAGGTAAAGCACCTTCCTAGCAAACATAAGGCCCTGAGTTCAAACCCCAGTATGGGGGGGGGGAGGAGAGAGAGAGAGAGAGAGAGAGCGAGAAAGAGAAAGAGGAGAGAATGAGAATAAAAATACAAGCTAGACTGGGAGAAGATATTTGCAAACCACTTATCCGACTAAGAGGATATAACCCAATGGCATGCGAAAAGATGCTCACATCATTAGCCATCAGGGAAAAACAAAATGAAACCACAGTTCATACCTGTAAGAATGGCTAAAATAAAAACCCTCAGAACACCACCAAATGCTGGCAAGGATGCTGGGAAACTGGATCATTCATATATTTCTTATGAGACCATAAAATGAATGGTATAACCACTTGAGAGAACATTTTGGCATTTTCTTTAAAAACTAAATAGGGTGTGGCCCAAGTGGTACAGCACCTCCCCTGAGTTCAACCACCAGTATCACCAAAACAAAACAAAAGCAATTGCACATCTAGCCATTTACTCCAGAGAAATGAAAACTTAAGTTTACATAAAAACCTGCACAAGAATGTTGGTTACAGCTTAATTCCTAACAGTCCAAAGCTGGAGAGAGAAGCCTGCCAGGGTGAAATGCTGCACACTCTCCCAGGCTAGCTAATCAGAGCAAGAACGCTGCTATACGGATTTCTCTTTCAAGTGGGCATGTCTACTAGTCCCTACATGTGTTAAAAGTTATGAAGTTTGGGGCTAGGGATGTAGCTCAGAGGTAGAGTGCTTGCCTAGTATGTGCAAGGTTCCTGGGTTTGATCTCCAGCATGATAGGAAAAAAGTTAGGAAATTTAAACGATCAGTACTCCATCAATCGTCAATCATGTTGACCAAACATAGCATTCATCTGTCCTTACTGCCAGCCCATGCTCTCCACAATACAACACAACTTCTCAGATGTATAGTAACATACTTTTGGAGAACTCTTATAAGAAGGCAAAACTAAAAAATTACCTCTGAACATATTACCTAAGCAATATAATCAAGATGAAAAAATAAAGCATTCCTCAACCCTCCTCAGGGACAGAAAGTATCAACATGAACTACTTAAGAAGTTCATGTGAAATGTCTTAAAGTTCATTTGAAAGTTATTACAAATAACTATAAAAGCTCAAATGAATCTGGAAAAAAAAAAACAAATGGAAAATGAAAGGGCCTCTCCCAGTTTCAAAGCCAAATAATCATTATATCAGTTAAATGCAGTTTTAACAGCCACTGTGTTGAGTCACAGCTGTCTTTTCACGTTGAGCAGTACTGTGCAAGAGCACAGACAGCAAGTCTTGCCTGATTTATTTTTGGGATGGAACCCAGGCCCTTTACATACTAGGCAAGCACTCTACCACTGAGCTACAGTCCCCACCTCTGCAGCAAGGCTTTAGGTGGCACTTTCGAGGCTGGATCTGTAATGCAGCAGGCACTGCTCGGATTCCTGAACTGTGAATACCCCTCTACTTCCTCCATGGCAAACCATTGACCCGGGAAATCCAGGCACCTAACCAGTCATTGCATAAAAAGGATCACTACACAGGGATGGTAGTTTTTGCTTTCCTTCCACTCAATTATTCAGTTTCTCAAATTCTTAAGTGCCAACCAGAACCACAGGATGTCAGGAGATACAAACTCTACATCTGTGAACTGGCAGTTAAGGGTTGTGATGCTGTAGGCCTGTGTATGACTGTTGAGGGTCCCCGTGGTGCCAAGTCAGCTCAAATGAGAGTTCTTCTGGCCCAGCTGAACGGTGCTTTCATGTGGGAAGTATCCCAAAGACTGACTTCCCATATACACATCTAAGTGAGTTTTCTTCTGGTCTGTTTTTTCCTATCAATCCTGAAGAAGGCAACTAATATAAGGGAGTCCAGAGCAGTGAAGTCATAAAGGGGAGCTACAGGTTATTAAAACCTATCTTATACAAAATATTTTTAAATATTTTCCACAATGTATTGAGGAAAGTGTGACCAGCCATCTCCCAGAAACAAGTAAACTGAGGGTTAGAAAAGTTTAAGTACCTTGCCCAAAAGTCATTTCATGGGTAAAACTGGGTTGTAACTGTCAGGTCCCAAAGTCAGTCTTTAGGCACCCACCCCATTATTCCCCTGAGCAGTACGCCATACTTTTAGCCTGGAAAACAGAAACATCAAGAAAACCATGACTTACGAAATGCTGCCAATCCCAACATTGGCACCAACAGGGCATAATTCCACCTGTTTCCGTCACCCCCATCGGCCCTGGAATTAGGCTGAATGTTCCAATTTGGGGGATCATTTAAGTTATTCATGGAGATATACCTTAAAGGAAAGAAAAAAATACTAACTATATGAAAGAAACAAGATTCAGTTGTTGTAATTACACCATCAACATAGATCACTTCTTTTATTCAAGAAAATTTTTTCAGTTCTGCCTATGCACACCCTATGGGATTTCAAGAAGGAAAAACACAACCTACTGGGGGAAAGAAATGTGTCTCAAATAAGTGAAGCATAGGTAGAATGTGTGAGTTCCTAGTGTAAGTATATTTAGATGTATGATGACTGTGATGGTTAATTGTATGTGTCAACCTGAGCCATGGTATGTTCAGAGACTTGGCTGAACACTATTCTAGCTATGTCTGAGAGGTGTTTCTAGATGAGGTTAGTATTTGAATCATTACACCAGTTCCTTATAACAAATCAAATGCTCTCTCGTGCTATACACACATACATAGTCAGGTACCCTCAAACATTATGGGCGATGATGATATAGGTTTCATAATATTGTAATTTCCTAATAATATCATTGCTGGCTCAACTTGTGTTATGGTGTTCACACATGTTCAAAATCCCTTATCAAAACTTCTCAGAACATGTCTCTGTTAAGTGATGCTAGGTTTATGTTTATGTCTCTTATTGGTTCTGTCTCTGGAGGACCCTAGCATAGCTGTATATGAAGACATAGAATCAAGTCATTAAGTGAGTTCACTTATGAGCTGGGTTTTGAAAAATGAGCAGTATACTAAGAGGCAGAGACCAAAGGAAAGGGTCTTCTGAGCAGAAAGAGGAGTGAGGAAGACAGGAAGGCATGAGAACACTATGGACAAGAGCAGAGGCTGCATGTAAGGAGAAAGCAGGGACAGTCATGCCTCCTGACATGGTGGTTGTAGAGGTCCCTGCTTTATGCTCAGGGTATACCCTCCAAACTAGGCTTGGGGCTAATGTTAGCATGACTCTACTAGTTTACCATGGAAGGGTGTTTTCACAAAGTAAAGCCATGAGAATGTTCAACATGCTTATAAGTAGCCTCCACAAATACACTGATCATAAAATTGTTAATCATAATGCTTGCAAAAAAAAAAAAACAACCAAGGGCTGGGGAGGGGAGCATGGCTCAAGTGGTAGAGTGGCTACTAGCAAGCATAGGGCCCTGAGTTCAAACCCCAGTATCTCTCTCTCAAAAAAAAGAGAGAGGCAAGGAATTCCTCTACAGCCATACTGCCATACCATCCTAAATGTGCCTGATCTCAGAAGCTAAACAGAGTTAATACTGGGATAAGAGAAAACAGGAATTTGATCCAAGTTTTGGAAATTTTTAATAGGTTCACAACAAATACTTGTTTAAAACCTAAAGATGTAAAATTATGATAGACAATAAAGATATGCCTAAAACATAGGGCTCAGAACTTAGTATTAGTCCTATGGTTCATAGAAACCATAGAACTAAAAAATTAGATACATACTAATTTTAAAAGTACTAAAACTGCTCAACTTTCAAAAATCATATAGTAAGTACAGCCATCCCTTGCTATCCATGGGGCATTTGGGTCCTGGACCCCCAGCAAGAAACAAAAGCCTCGCGAATGCTCAAATCTCTATGTAAAATGGTGTACTATTTGCATACAACCTATGCACTTACTTTAAATTATGTCTAGATCACTCAATATCTAACAGAACATGAATGCTTTTAAATAGCTGCTATGTTGTCTTAAGGGAATAATGACAAGAAACAAAAATCTGTATATGCTCAATACAGGTAACAATTTTTTCCAAATATTTTTGATCTGCAGTTGGTTGAATCCACCCATGGCAGAACTCCCGGAGGGCCAGCTGTATCATGTTTGTTCCTTCCACACCAATGAAGTTCACTTCTGGGGCATAAAGCCTAAGGAAACAATCCTAAAGATAAAGCTTTGTGTACAAATATGTTCCTACGTCCTTATTTGTTAATAGGAAGAAATGAAAACCTCAACATTAATAAAATGTGAATGGTTCGTTATAAACTTAATTCATAAATTTGTGCACAGGAGGAAGACTTTAATAACCTAAACTTAGGTACAAATGCAGGAAACGTAATTCTTTATGATTAGTGGTACAAGAGATTTCAGCCTGTCTTACAAAAATGCATACACTAGATAAAATACTATCCGAACCAGAGGTAAAATCTGAGCAAGTTGGCAGAAAGGCACGCAAACCACGGCCTAGGCAGTTTCCAAACTGACCCCAGGCCGGCTCTGAGCTCAGCGTCCCAGCAGCCGAAGCCGCAGGAAAGGCTTTGGATCCCGCCTCACGTCCAGTGTCCCCTCCTCGCCGCTGGCCTGTCGCCTTTGCTGGCCCTCTCCTCAGGCCGTGCCACTGCACTCGGACCTCATTCCCTCCGTAGGGATCCTAAGGCCCTTTCTGTCCTGGCAAACTCGGGCAATCCCCTAGGAACCTTTTAAAGATATCGGTGCTCGCCCCTCCCCTGAGAAGGGCCCAGTCCACCCGGCCCCCGAGCGCCTTGACCTACCTCGGCAGGACTCTGGCGTCCCCAGCTCAGGCTGACGCGGGTCCGCCCAGCTGCAACACTGCATCACCCGCTCCACAACGCGTGCGAAGTGGTGCGCAGACGTGGCAAAGCCCACTGGATCGGACAAGGGTTTGGTGCGCAGACGCGACATCCCTTCCCCCGCCCCCCTCCCTCCCTCCCTCCCTCCCTCCCTCCCTCCCTGCCTACCGTCGGACCCTGCGTGATGCGCAGGCGCGGCATCCCACCCTCTACCCGGGCACGGCGTGGTGCGCAGGCGCGGCATCCCATCCTCTACCGGGCACGGCGTGGTGCGCAGGCGCGGCATCCCCCAACTCAACCCCAGGCGCTGCGTGGTGCGCAGGCGTAGTCAGGCGCAGGGACTGGTGGGACGGTGCAGACATGGCGGGGGTTGGGGCTGTGTCGCGGCTGCTCCGCACCCGGCGCTTGTCGTTGGTGGTTGGGGTGAGTTGGCGCCGCGAAATGGTGGGGCCGGGGAGAGGCGGGACGGTCCCGGGTAGAGCATAGTGGAGCGCATGCCGAGTCCCATGATCGCCGCCCCTGTCGGGCGGGACTAGGAAGCTTCTGGTCGGGAGCCGGCCGCTCTCTGGTGAAGGTCACGAGCCCGCGCTAGCCGGTCTCCCGGCGGCCCGCCTAGGCCTGGAGCGGCACCACCCAAGGTCACCGGGTGGGAGGGGCCGCGGGCCTGGCCTCCGGGACTCTGCGGAGGTCAATGGGTAGCGGGCGGGCAGGTGAAGGGCGAGTCAACGGTCTCCTTCTCCAGGGTAGTCGGTGGGAGCTGCTGGCAAATCTGCGTTTGGACACCTAGACTTTAAAAGTTAGGAGCTTTTATTTTAGGTTCTGTATGCTACCGTTTACGGTGACAAATTCAGCGTCAGTGTCCTAGCGTTTTATCTAAGCAAACCAAATTCGGAAGGTTTGGTTATTTAGATCTTTTAAATGAACTGGCCTACCCTCCTACTTAGTAATTTAATTACAAAGTAAAAGTTCCGATAGGAGCCAGGACATTTAACAATATTAACTTGTGTTATGCTCGTAAATATTACTGCAGTTTTCTCTTTTTTGAAATAGAGCTGTTAAAATTTATGTCCAATTAAATGTGAGAAGAACTAGTTAACAGCCATCCCTCCAACCCCAGAAGGCATTTTAAAAGCTTTAATCCTTGCTATGATTGGTGCTTACTGAGCAGAACCCTTTCCCACCACACACATATACCTTGGGCTCTCACAACACTGCAGGAAGTAGATTCATGGTCAGTGGGGCATTTAAGGGAAATAAATCACACGTTGGTAAGCTGTGATTGGAGCAGATAGTATGTACTCACCCGAGGCTGGTGCCCAGAGTTCTTCTGTAGACTAAATGACAAACGTTGATGTCTTTTATCTAGACCTGAGTAATCTATCTGCAAGTGAGAATAAAGTTCTGAGCAGGTAACAGGTCAGAGTCCATAACCTTGCCTTTCATAGGAGCTTGATTAGAAGCCATCTTTTTCAAACTTCAATTGAATCAGACATTAGCTGCCAGCATTTTACCTGTTTTGTCTTTTTGGATCTTTGCAGTGTCATTGGTTAGGTATTTGTAAACAGATGACAAGATAGTGATAGCAAAATTGTGTCCCAAGTGAGGCCTCCCTAAATAGGTTTTTGAGTTTTTGAGAAGTCTTTGTATCTGTACGAGGATAGCTCTGCCCCTATTATTGTTATTTAAGATTGGCTCTTTTCCTCAAAGAATTGGAGTTTACAAAGGAACAAGAATATCAGATTAGCAGAAAAAAGAGAAATATATGATGGCCAATTAAGAAATCTCTTTGCAAAGTAGATAAGTCCATAGAGAATTTTTCTTTATCTCATTTTGGTCAATTTTGTGGTGGTTTCAAGTTATTCTGTATTGCCACTTGCTTTCAGGTTATCAGCTTGCCATACTTCTCTTTTTGTCTTTTCATGGTTCCAGTGCACTAACAGAATTTGCAAACTGTTGTAAAGCAGTTTAATTCATAGGAAGAACAAAACCAAGGACCTAAGTAGTTGTTAATAGCTCACTTCCATGAAGTTTTCAAGTCCTCTAGGGCAAATATATAAAATGCTGTTCTAGAATAAGTCAGTTCTTTTTCTTTGAATGGATTGTCCTGAATATGTCTTAATGGTGTATCTAAAATTCACACTAATTAGGCTACTACAGGAATAATATCTTGCTTCTTGTGATTACTATAACACCAGTGACATTCAGTTCTGCATTCTACGTGATGTTTTTCCTAGTTCATTTGAGAAATTGTGACTTGGTTTTTATGTATAACCAGGATTTTAATCTTGGTTTGCAATCACTCAGATTTTTTCCATAGATCTTTGGATAGTGGGAAGGTATAGGATTTAGGGCCAGAGTCCCCCAACCTTCATTTTCTCTATGGGGCTAATGAGGACCATTTAAGGTAACCTCTGAAATTTTGGCTGTGCACTTGGGAAGCTTGTGCTCCATGTGAACTGTATTTTAAGCATCCCTATTTAAAAATTAATAAACATTAAAAAGTTGATGAAAATAATTGCACATAGTTCTAAAAAAAATGAGTAAATACAGAAAGGCTTATAAATAAATGTTTCATCAGTGGAAACAGTTCTGATTGTCTCATGTCCCCCTGGTGTTTACCTCCGTTTCTCTTAAGTTTGCTTTTCAATTTTAGACATCAGCTTCCTGCATGATAGAGAAGGGTGTAGTTCATTTTCCTTTTTCCTACTTCTCTTTCTGCTGCCCTTCTAGGATAAACCATTTTTAGGTCTTTGTTGGCTGGTTTTGTAATTGTGTAGGTTATACTTATGACTTAGTTTCTTGTTTGATGGTCTGGGTTTCTTGAGCTTACAGGGAGGTCTTTTGTCTCACAGAATTTTTTTTCCAGCCCCACAAGTCTTCTAAATTACAGAATACTTGAAAACATCTGTCCTTTCCTATCCTTTGATTGCTAAGTGTACTTTTTTCTTGAAACTGTTTTTCATGATACTTCCAAATCTCTTCCTTTTATCTTGGTATTCTAAAATAAAGTCAGCAGAATGGAGAACATATCCCATAACAGCTGACCAGTCTTAGTATGTGGAGAATGTTGTCTTTCAGATTGGGTAGTGATTTCACTACTAGTTTTTTGAGGAAATGTTTATAGGATGGGACTTTGGTGAGTTGAAGTTCACCAGGGAATGGCCTGGGCAGCCAGGCAGAGGGAACAGCTTGAGAGGGATAAGGGGTGACTCATAAGTGAGGGTGTGGCTAGAGCCTAGTAGGTGAAACTGGGGTCCTTTTGTGTAGAGTAAAGGGAGAAATAACGGTTTAATGCTAACAGCGTTTTCCAATTGTGAAAAGCAGTCTATTCCATGATAGAGATCTGATACACTGCTGAGTGCCTTTTCCACTGACCACAAGGCCTAAAGGACATTGAGGGCTACAGTATGGAAAGGGCAACTTTTTTTTCCAGCAAAAAATGCTTTATTATTAAACTTAACACATACAGTGACACAGTAGGGGTGTTTTTCCTGTTCTCCATTGAGTAATGCAGATTAAGACAGTTCAGAGCAATGTCAGAGGCAGTGAAACAAGCTTTATCCAGAAGAGGTTTTCCAGGAGTACCAAGTTAGGGGTTTGGGGGTGGGGACCTGAGACCTGAATCCTTATTCTTGGGTCTCCCTTCAGGGTTAAGTAGAGGGTCCTAGGTGAACTTTCTAGAAGAATGAGAGCAACTGGGTACAAAAAAAGGTTAACAATTTAGAAGGAAAATTTTGATTCATTCACCTTAACTTCTGTTTCTTCAAGACCCTAACACCATCTGTCTCTCAGCAGTGGCCTGCAACATTCCAAACACGAAGCCGTGGCTTTCACTTCACTGTTGGTGGGAGTAAAAGGGCATCTGCTAAAGTTTCAAATGCAGTAAGTCATTGCTTTTTGCTCCATTTTAAACACCTTTCTTGACTTAGAAGGGTGATAGTCTATACCAGTTCGTTTTAATATATTTGAGTATTGAACTTAATTAAAGAAAAAATTCTCTTGGGCCTCCATTGCATGCTAAAATTATTTTTAGTGTAATAATACTTAATTGTGAGGCAGGTGTGGTGGCACATATCTGTAATCCCAGCTACTCAAGAGGCAAGGACAGGAGGATCAGGATTCTAGGCCAGCATGGGCAAAGTTAGTATGAAACCCTATCTGAAAAACAAACTAAAAAGCACGGACTGCTTACGTGACTCAAGTGGTAGAACACAAGGCCATGATATCAATCCCCAATACCACACACACAAAAAAAAAACCTTAATTGTGGTACAAACATAAACAGATACTAACCTTTTTTTTGCTTTTGCTTTTAGCTGTTAAAGTATCTATAGATTTAAGTATAAATCAAGTAAAGCAACAAAATAATAAGGTACAAGTGAACAATATTTGACAATATTGAACAAGATTGTGATGGATTGAACAAGATTGTGAAGATTGTGGTGGAATTCCTACTCAAAATAAGATCGTATATGGGGTATGGGTTCTTTTGTATTTAGTGTGCCTATTTGCCCTGTTGAAAAATGAAGTTTGCGTGCAAGTTCTTATGTCAGAAGCTGACAGTAGTCCTGAATAATGCTTGACACCTTCTCAGACCCCCTCAAGCATGGGCTTAAAATAGAGTTGTGTGGTCTGCACCTAGGTGAACTGGAACCTGGAAGGTGCTTATCTAAATGGAAGCACCATTATGCCATTTTTACAAGAATCGCAGCTCACAGTGGAGAAGCATTGTCTACACTACATTATAAGGTTAGGCTGTGTAAAACGGATAAGGATAGAGACAGAATATAAGTGACAACAACACTGGGAAAGAATCCATATTTACAGCAGCTGTGTTGTTGGTTTCTTCAGCCTCTACACTTCCTTGCTTTGGTAACAGAATTGACAGATTTGGGTCTTCATAGTTTTAAGCATTCTCAAAAGTGGATGTTTTGAGGGTGTGCCTCTTAAGTGTGCAGCATCTCAGCTAATGGTGGGTTTCCTTATCTATGGGACAGATCCTTTATGGCTCATACCTAGTTGTTGGTTCCTTGTCGCCCCCCATACCTTGACACCAAATGTGTGTGCTCAGCCTGGGTGAATAGGGGGTCCTCTGTGTATAGCAGCTGCCGGATATCT